TGAGCCGCCCGGGTGAGGAAGGAGGGGTTGGGGCAGGAAGGAAAGCGCAAGCAAGCAGAGGACCTAGGCGGTAGGAAAAGGGAGGCTTGCCAGAGCGGGGGTGGGGCGGACCCGAGAGGCTGGGCAGACAGAGGGCAGTTAAGGAGGATAAGCATGATACGAAACTGCAGCTTTGCTTTGCAGCCCTGGAGAGGCAGTTGGGATTAGCCCCTGGGCTCAGGGGGCTACAGGAGAGGGGTTGCTGGGTTCAGGCCTGGGGCTCAGGAGAGGAACAGAGAAGTCATTTTCCCACTCTACTCTGCACTGATTAGGCTTCAACTGGAGTATTGTGTCCAGTTCTGGGCACCACATTTCAAGGAAGATGTGGAAAATTGGAGAAGGTCCAGAGAAGAGCAACGAGAATGATTAAAGGTCTAGAGAACATGAGCTATGAGATAAGACTGAAGGAATTGGGCTTGTTTCGTTTAGAAAAGAGAAGATGTGATAGCAGTTTTCAAGTATCTAAAAGGGTGTTACAGGGAGGAGGGAGAAAAATTGTTCTCCTTGGCCTTTGAGGATAGGACAAGAAACAATGGGCTTAAATTGCAGCAAGGGAGGTTTAGGTTGGACAGTAGGAAAAACTTCCTGTCAGGGTGGTTAAACACTGGAATAAACTGTCAGGGCAGTTGTAGAATTTCCATCACTGGAGATATTTAAGAGCAGATTAGACAGACAGCTGTCAGGGATGATCTAGATCCATGGTCTCCAACCTTTTTACATCTAAGATTACTTTTTAAATGACAGAACAAGCAAAGATCTACTGCCTCACTCCTTCCTTGAACCCCTGCCCCTCTATTCTCCTCCTCTCCATAACTTGCTATCCCCAACCCTTATACTGCTGCTTTCCCATAGAAGAATTGTGAAAAAAGAGGTTTTTCCAACATTTGCCCTGTCTAGACTGGACCAAATGTCAGAAAAAACCCTTCCTTTGGAAGCCCCCTTATTCCTGGTGGAAAGAGAAATATAGGGGTGACCGAAAGATCATGTTTGCTCTTCCACTAAAAGAAGTGAAAGAACAAACACATCCCTGGATGCAGAAGAGTTTTTCTGGGGGTATCTCTGGAATCCTGAAAAACTCCTGCAGTCTAAACATACCCTCGTTGGGTTAAGACAGGATGTGTAGGCTCCAGGGTGGGAATGAGGGATTTGGGTGGGGAAAAGGGGTGAGAGGTGCAAGCTCTGGGAGGAAATCTGGATGCAGGAGGAAGTGGATAAGAGAACGCTGGCTTGGGGAGGGAGTTCCAGGCCAGGCAGTGGTGGGGTCAGATGTAGGGTTAGGGTACTAAGTAAGCCACAGACTTCTGGATGTGAGGGTTCAGGAATT